TAATAATCTGTGTTCTTTAAAACTTACATGCAAAGTTGGCATGTTTTCTTTAATTGAAGAAGCATTTCCTTCCAGCTCTATCATTCTCTGCTTTCCCAGTTCTAAGTTCCTCTTTTTGAATGGAGAATCAATAAGAAAACGCATAAACAAGATTGCAGTTAATGCAATTTAAGACATCGCACAACTGTCAGAAGCCGTCCTAGGCTTAGGAGTTCAATGTAAGTGGTAGAAGCATTGGAGAGGTAGCAGTAGCCCTTGGAGAAGTTGGTTAGATAATGTTTCAGTACAAACTTGGGTCTTGGAGGATGGTTGGGAGAGGAGTGGAAAATACATTGACAGCGGTAAAACTTAACACAAATGAACTTGAAGGGCAACGTGTAGTCTGTGTAAAGAAGGAGAAGTTCCATGATTAAGCTGCTCTTATAGGAACATCATGGAATATTAACTTTGAGAGGGCTTTTGTGGAATTACTGGGTATGTTTAAATACCGGAATCTAACCTCGGTCCTGGAAGCACTGGAAGTTTCCACATGTGGCATAATGAAAACGTTCTAGCAAGGTATACTTGGGAACTTAGCGCAAGAAGACAAAGTCCAGAAGGGAAAATGAGTAACTGTCAGAATTCCATGAGCAGGGTGGGGAGAGTTGAGACAAGTAAAGGCAGTGACAGGTGACATGTATTATGAAATAAAATATGAAGAATCAAAGTGGATTATAGATGGAGATTAATAGTGAGAGAAGCAGACCTCCCTGGTGACCTAGGGGTTAAGTCTCAGCGCTAGCATTGCTAGGGCCTGAGTTTGATCCCTGGCCAAGAAGCTGACCCACATGGCGAAGCAGAACTCTCCTGTCTCCTGCTGTTCCCCTCAGCAGTGGATTTCAGTAGAATCGTCTATTCTGTTCCCCACTCTGTCTCTGGTGAATCCTCTCACCCTCCAGCACCTCTAGTCTACACCCTAGTTCTTCTACCCCAAAATAAGTAAAATTAAAAAATAAAAATGTAGAGAAGCTAAGCAAAAAAGAAACTAGGAGGACTATAATAAAACAAATAAAAAGTCAAAGGCCAGGTAGAAGAGATAATTTAAGTAGGTCAAATAATGAATTAGTGATACTGGGTTATCATTGCCAATGGGATCTCCAAAGGGCCACAGGTTAGCTGTAAACAAAGGTTATGTAAGATGAGGCTGTAATTAAGGAAATACACAATGATGCTTCAAAGGCAATCTTCTCTACAGAAGATTGAGTTTATAGGGTCTAATTTGGTGATATAGGTTTGGTCAGATTTTACAAATGTTCTGTATGTGTTTGAAAATAATCACTGCTGCCTAACAGTAAAGGTGAATTATCCTTTATATTTCTTTTAAAAGCAAGCTTATTAGGGGCCTCTCTGATGGCACAAGGGGTTAAGTCTCAGCACTATGAAGCTATCCGCAGCCACTGCAGCAGGAGTTCGATCCCCAGCCAGGGAGCTACCCACATGGTGCAGCAGACCTCTCCTGTCTCACCTGCTGCTCCTCTCAGCAGTGTATTTCAGTAGAACACCTGCTCTGTTCCCCACTCTGTCTCTGGTGAATACTATCACCCCCTGCACCTCTTGCCTGTAACCCAGTTCTTGTATGCATAAATAAATCTTTTAAAAAATAAAGAAAACCAAGCTTATTATTTTATTCAAAACATCTTTATCCTTATTGGTTTTGTTGCTGCTTGACTTACCAAATTTCTGAGAGAGGAATATTAATACCCCACTTTTTATTTTATTTTATTTTTTTTGGTAAAGGGCCTACACTAGTTTCAAAAAAAAAGTGTTTTTAACACTTACATGCAAATTATATATTTTTTCTTTAAATGGAGCCTATTGTTTCCATATTTTTATTACTATGTTGCTGTTAAAATGTAGTTTCTAGAATTATGTTAATATCTCTACTGATTGTGGTGTTTCAACTTTTAATCATAATTCTGTCAATTTTTGCTTTTTATACTTTATTAATTTTTTTAAAGATGTATTTATTTAGACAAGAACTGGCTAGAGGTGCGGGCCAGGGAGAGGATTCACCAGAGACAGAGTGGGGAGCAGAACAGGCAGATCTACTGAAACACACTGCTGAGGGGAGCTGCAGGTGAGGCAGGAGAGGTTTAGCCACACCATGTGAATTGCTACCTGGCCAGCCGGGAATCGAAGCTGCGCTGCAGAGGCTTGGGACAGCTTCACAGTGCGGTGCTCAACTCACTGCACAACCGGGGAGGCCCTGTTTTTTATATTTCATAATTATGTTGTATTCAAGTTTAACATTTTCCTGTGAATTATTCATTCTATATTACATTAGGAAATTCTTTATAATAAAGCTTATTTTCATCTAACATTAATATATGATTTTATATCATACCACTTTTAATATTCAAAATCAAAACTGAGAATTTCTTATAAAATAATTTATTCTTTCAAGTTTAATTTTACTTATTGATTCATTTGGATGTCTGTTGAATATTTTAGGTGCAAATATATTTTTAAACCCTCCCTCACCTTAGCAGTTATTTTCTTTTTTAGGTGTCAGATAGACTTGTGGAGGGGCGGAGGGAGGGGCAGGGGCGGAGGGAGATCTGAAGCACAGAGCATAGTGGAGCAGCAGGCACAGAGAGAAGAGACCTTCTGCTGCACCACATGCGCTCTGGCTCCATGCCCCCTTCTGGGGGCTGGCTCCCACGCTCCTTGCGGGTAGCTCCCTGGCCGGGGCTCGAACTCAGGTCGCAGCGGTGAGAGCGCTGAGACTAACCCCTAGGCCATCCTGGAGGCCCCACCAAGGGCTTAGTTAAATGGAGCCTTTAACCCTTATTAGGAGGCTTCAGGAGAACTACTGACAGCTGCTTCTCCAGCAAGTCAGAAGAGACTACGGCTGCCCTTCCCTTCCCTTCCCTCAGTGATCATCACTGTCTCCTCCTAGGGCCCCTGGGCGCTGAGGGAAGATGGCTTTCAGCAGCACCTCCATGTCTTCATCAGTGACAAGAGGGGGCAAAGTATGGGGATTTTTCAAGTCTAAAGTATTTTTCATTGATGAATCAGAAGAAAAACCTACACAGTTCAGAAAGTAATCAGGATTGTATTGATCCTGAAAGATTTCTTTGGTGATGATCGTGTGTAAAATCAATATTTAGAAGTTTCTAGAGATTTAAGTATGCAGACTTCTGATGTCCTCATAGAATAATGAATGCTCTTAGCGAGCTGAAGAGACTCAAAAAAAAGTAAATAATCCAGTCACAAAATGGGCAGAAGAGATAAAAAGGAACTTCTCCAAAGAGGAACTGCAAATGGCCACCAGGCATATGAAAAAATGTTCAGCATCACTTGCAATCAGGGAAATGCAAATCAAAACTACCATGAGATACCATCTCACACCAGTGAGAATGGCACATATTAAAAAAACTAGCAACAACAAATGTTGGCGAGGGTGTGGAGAAAAAGGAACTCTCCTGCACTGTTGGTGGGAGTGCAAACTGGTCCAGCCACTATAGAGAGCTGTGTGGAGATTTCTGGACCTACTAAACATAGAGCTTCCATATGATCCAGCAATTCCACTCCTAGGTATTTACCCAAAGGACACAGAAACATCCATTCCAAAGAGCACCTGCACCCCTATGTTTATAGCAGCACTGTTTACAATAGCTAAGCTTTGGAAACAGCCCAAATGCCCAAAAATAGATGCCTGGATCAAGAAAATGTGGTCCACATACACCATGGAATATCACTCAGCATTCAAAAAAGACAAACTCATGCCATTTGCAGCAACATGGATGGAGCTGGAAGGGATCATGCTCAGCGAAATAAGCCAGAAAGAAGACGAAAAACACTGGATGGTCTCACTCATAGCAGGAACCTAGAAACCAGCAAAGCACCTGTAGTCCATGACCTTAGTCTATCCTTTGCACTTGTTTTCTTCACGTTGTATAGAAGAAATGGATTAAGTAGAAGGAGCCATACATTTCTGGGCATTAAAGAATAGTTTGTGTGGTTGTTCAGAATCATCTTGGAAGGTGCAGTGATTTCTCTCTCCACATCCTCCAGATATTTCTTAGCTCGTAAGTGTCTTCTAGTACCACCGTCTCTTCTCCCATCAGTATACACTCTGTTTGCCTTCCTTGCTCCTAGAAGCTGCCCAAGGACATATGACAATATTCTAAGATCTTTCCAGGCCCTCCATGGATGGCAGTGGTTTCATATCACACTTAAACAATCTCCAGAGGTTGTGACCTGAGAGTTCCCGGCTTGGGGATCGTCCACAGACCACGGCTGGACTCCCTGCTCCGACCTGATGCTCTCCTCAGGATCGGGAACACAATGCCCTAGGGACACCAGGTGACTGCAGGTCTCCAGCATCACATCCCAGTACAGGGTCCTCTGAGCTTCACTCAGGCACTGCCACTCCTCCCAGGTGAAGTTCATAGCCACGTCTTCAAATGACACCGTCCCTTCTGAGGGAACATTTCTCATCTCAGGGCCGGCAGTCAGAGATTCGTCCATTGTCGCTGCTCTCACAGACGCGCCAGGGCTCGGGAGTGGCGCTGGGGGCTGATGGGGTCCAGCACAGAGGACGGAGGCAGCTGCCGGGGTCCGGGAGTCTCCTGGCCAGAGCCCGCCACACACTGCCTCGGGGCACCCCGGCGCTCGCGGAGGCGCCGGAACTTCCCAGCAGTTATTTTCTTGACAGTGTTTCTGAATTAAATTTACCAATGAATTTCTAATATTTTTCCTTATTATAACTGGTTGCTTCACATCCCTTTATGGACTCATTTTCTTTACTAAAGTACATTCTTTAGTATTTCCTTGTCTGTAAATCAAACTTTCTCTACCTTTGTTTAAAATGTCTTCATTTTGTTATCTTAAATGATAATCTTGTGAAATGGATTTAAATTTCAAGTGTTCAAATACTCCTTATTTGTACAGATGTTTCTGTTTTTATAGGATATCATATTTTAAAGAGAGTAATAAAATCTGATTTATTTTTATAGTTACCCAAAGAGTCTAAGTGGAAGACACGACAGATCTTCACAAATGGCTCTGGACAGACAGAATGGTCTTGGTGCCACTTTCCTCATGAATGGCAATGTCTGAGGTAAACCTCATCTATGGAAGAGTAATGGCCTATCCCTCCCTCTCTCCCTCACTAAAGGAAAACTCTCAAATTCCTTTAGATATTTGGGGAGTGATGTGGGTTGGACATAATTCTTGTTCCCTTTTTAACTCCCTGCGGAATTTTGTTGAGTCATGACCTTATAAAATATTTTGTGTGAAGCTAGTTTCTTTATACATATAACAGTAAATGACACAGAACATTAACTATTGTTCTTGAGATTTCTTTTAAGTTGTATATAACAAATAATCTGTGAAGACAGGCCAGGAATGGTCAACATATTGCTACTTTTTTTTTTTTTCAAGATTTATTTATTTATGCATACAAGCTTTTTAACTTTTAAAGTTTGAGCTATTTTAAGATTTACAGAAGAGATCTCTCTTAGTAATGATATTTCTTTTATTCATCTTAAAAATGCATTCCTGGGCCTCCCTCAATGTGCAAGGGGTTAAGCACAGCACTGTGAAGCTATCTGCAACCACTGCAGCACGAGTTCAATCCCTGGCCAGCCAGGGAGCTACCCAAAGGGCACGGCAGACCTCTCCTGTCACCCCACTGCTCCCCTCAGCAGTGTATTTCAGTGAATCCTCCTGTTCTGTTCCCCACACGGTCTCTGGTGAATCCTCTCACCTCCCCATACCTCTGGCCTGTACCCAAGTTCTTGTATGCATAATCTTTTTAAAAAACGCATTCCTATGTATTGAACTGCGATGCTATAAACATGCTTTAAGTGCAGTGTGTGTATAATCACGAGTTAGATTGAAATGAACCTATTTTGAAAATTGAGAAGATGGGGTGGGGGAGTGGGTAGATGGGATAAATTTAATAGTGACGAACGGAACTAGAAATTTGGTGGTGGGTTCAGTGGGGCATATACATTTATTGAGGTGGGAAGCTGTACTCCCCAAGTTTAACTAATATTGCAAGCCAATTTAAAAATTAATTTCAAAATGTGAAAGAAAAGAAAAGAGGAGAGGTTGCTGACACTGTACTCTTGAGAGTAATTTAAAGGTTATATTTGTGTAGGGGCAGGAATACCACAGTGCAGGTTTTCTGATCCAGCAGACCGGGTAAAGGAGGAGTCAGAGGCCTCAGTGTCTTTTGCAGGTCTTTTATTTAGATTTACCAGGCACATGGCAGGCAAGGGTGCTGGGGGGCCGGGAGGCTGGCCATTCCCCCAGCACCCAGCAAATCTTCACTCTATCTGGGCTCTCTCTGGCGTTCTCTCTGCTTCTCTTCTTCTCTCAGCTTCTGTTCATTCTTGGCTTCTGCTGGCGTCCCCGTGACGCTGCCCTTATAAACTCAGTCTCTCAGCCCAGGTGTTCCCACTCCAGGTGCCCGCCATCAGGCATGCACTCAGGACCACTGGGTTCCCTCATCTGTCCTAATGGCGGGAGGGCAGAAAAGCCTGATACTTTTTCCTTCCCCTACAGTGCTCCCCCTCAGGGTTTTCTGCCAGACAATCTACACAAGTCACATACGTTTCTCTTGGCAATAGAACACTGCAGCCATGGCCCACAAAAACAAATAATATACCTCACAATACAACAACAAATACATAAAATACAACAGAACACAAATAAGTCCAGGCAGGGCCCCAACCTAGTGGCAAAAGACAATTATTGGCACCAACAGATGAGCCACCAAATCTGCTGCCGAAGGCACTGCTCGTGCAACAGGGGAACCACTCACGGCATCTACTGTAACATGCCAGGAGCTGTCAGGCTTCCTGGCCTTCTCTGGCTGTAGTCTAGGCTACAAGCCACACACCGCATCCACCCCCAGATGCACTCGCTCTGGGATTGGCAATTCTATTCTGTTGGGGGTAATCGCCAACCCTCAGGGTTTCTGTCTGCAGTCGCTCCAACACTCGGCCTTCACAGCCACCCTTGCGACTCGCAGACCCCTGCACTCAGGCCAACCCACTGCACAAGCACATGGGTCGGGGATCCAAACTCTACATGCGGCCTCTCTCGGGTCCCCTCTTCGGCTTGGGCTCCACCCTAAGCCACGTTTCCCACCCATGCCCCGAGGATGGGTAACTCAGCTCCTCACCCTCACCCGACAACGAGCAGGGCATCACCAGCCGGTGATTTTACGAGACTCACAGGTCTTCAGCGTACCCAGGCTGCTTAACAGCCGCTCAGGGCTTCCCAAACTTAGCATCAGCACCAGCTTTTGCCTTCTCAGTTGGCTTTTCTCCTCTGCCTGGCTGCTGGGCATGCACAGGCTGATTTTGGCCATCAAGGCCCACTGGCCACCCCCAGGTTCCCAAACAACATAACCTGCCAAGGTCCTCCGCCTCCTGGCGGGATTGTCAGTCCAAGTCCATCAGTCCCAAGTCCATAGGCTTCTTGCTTGTGTCAGCACTGGCGAGCTCGGACTCGTGCTCCTCTTTCTTTCCCCGACGATTCTGCTGCCCCGGCGGTCTTGGGCTGGTCCTCTCGAGCGTCTCCTGCAGCCGAGGTCTGGTCCCGCAGCTCCCGGACCTTGTCCATCTCCTGTGCCGCCATGGCGCCTCCAGCGTCGTCACAGGCAAAGTCTGTTACTCCTCAGTCCCTCAGGTCTTCAGAGGCTCCATACCCGCCTGCATGGATCATCTTGCCGACTTACGCCAATTGTAAGGGCAGGAATGGACACTGAGCAGATTTTCTGACCCAGCAGACAGGGTAAAGGGGGAGTCAGAGGCCTCAGTGGCTTTTGCAGGTCTTTTATTTAGATTTACCAGGCACACGGCAGGCAAGGGTGCTGGGGGGCCGGGAGGCTGGCAGTCCCCCAGCCCATCTTCACTCTATCTGGGCTCTCTCTGGCGTTCTCTCTGCTTCTCTTCTTCTTCTCTCAGCTTCTGTTTGTTCTTGGCTTCTGCTGGCGTCCCCGTGACGCCGCCCTTATACATTCAGTCTCAGCCCAGGTGTACCCACTCCAGGTGCCCGCCGTCAGGCATGCACTCAGGACCGCAGGCTTCCCTCATCTGTCCTAATGGGAGGAGGGCAGAAAAGCCTGATACTTTTTCCTTCCCCTACAATTTGCAGTATATATCAAATGAAAAGTTGAACACATTGTCAGAATCTTCATAAAACTGACCTTATTTTTCTCAGTGTTTGATAGGGTTATGGATGAAGAACACCTAACCCTACTGGGGTAAGGAAGACGAGGAAAAGGAAAACGGATTATGATGTATTTGAGATATCACTCATACATTTCACCCATTCATTCAGGATCATCTAGCTCATACGTCATCGTGTATTAAGGCTTTACAACTGTGTGAGGGACTTGTTAGGTGCTGGGATAATGACTACTGTTAAGGATTGGCCCCTGTCTCAAAGAGTGTATGCTCTAAGTAAGCACTTATCTAATAATATAATGTGATGAATATTATACTGTTGCATGATTACAGCAAAGGACATCATATTGGAAGGATAGTTTTGATGCCCCTGTAGATCTATTTAGGCAGAATGTAGTGCATGAAGTTTAAAACTAAAGCGTGCAAGTCCAGGTGAAGATGTGAAGACAGCCATCAGTGATGGTCCGAATCTGAGGCTATTAAATTTGGGAAACATCACTTGACTTTCTTTTCTGTAATTCTAAGCTAATCAAGTCACCTTCCCTTTATAATTCAACTTCCTGTATAGAGCTGCATACAGGAAAAGACTGGTGTTGATACTTCAGATAAATCAACTGAAATATCCCCATGCTCTTGACATTATATTTCTCATTATAAATTTGCATTCTTATGTAAATACATTTCCAAGCAGCTTGATTACTGTGTATGGTCCTCCCCACTCCCTCTCAGACATGCATCCCCTCTTTATCTGTGGAATAAATCAAGCCTCCGAGATGAAAGCAGAATTTCTGATCCTGAACCTTAGAGAATTCATCAGAGCAAATGCCACCTTGTTTCCCTGATAACAATCGTGACCTCACAGCATGTGCTTCTTTTTCAGACATCTCCCGCTACATGTGATTATCATGAATATTTCACAGTTCTTTTGCACTCTCAATTTGTGGTTGTGATTGAAGTTAGCTGAATCCTAGAGCATCCTTACGTGGGGACAGTACTTTCTCAGCTGTATGTGACCCCTCAGTACTGGCCCATTTCCACCTTGAACTAGATCCAATCCTCTGCCCTCACCATGAACCATTCACTTACAGCATAATCATCTTCAAGCAATATAGATTTTAGAAAAAAAATTAAGAGGGGAAACTGGAGAGTTTGTGTGCCAACCACATAATAAATCTACTTACTTTTGACTTTTTATATTTTTTGTGCCCCTCAAATTTCCACTTTTTGCCCAAGGAGGACCTGTATGTTCTCATGAGTTATCATCTTCACCATCCCGTCTTCTGAAAGCCTGCACTCTTGATTTGTGACCTTTTGTCTGCTTTTAATCCTGGGGCAGGGAATTCTACCTTCTATTTACCTTGATTCTCCCTGAAGATCTGGCAGCATTCTCTAGACAAATATCTTTGTAGTGAATACCTCGCTCTCTCATTTTGCTGTGCACTCTCTCTTACACTCTGGTTTCACTTGTATAACTCAATAGCCACCATTTATGATCTATTTTCTATACCAAAGTTCTGGGAAGAGAGGCATTTAATAGTTTTTTTTTTTTTAAAGATTTATTTATTTATACAAGCACTGGGTACAGTCACAAGCGCCGGAGGGTGAGAAATTCAGCAGAGCCAAAGCGGGGAGCAGAACAGGCAGAAGGACCCAAGTACACTGCTGAGAGGAGCAGCGGGCGGCAGGAGAGGTCTGCGCGCCATGTGGGACCCTCCTCCGGTGGCCGGGGAGCAGCCGGGGATCGAACCAGCGCTGCAGAGGCTGCGGGCAGCTTTGCAAACCAGCACTCAACCGTTGCTCCACCGGGGAGGCCCCACTTAATAGTTTTCTATTGCTACATGGCAAATTATCACAAACTTGGGAGCTTAAGATAACCCAAATTATCTCACATTTTCTGTTAGTCTAAAATTTGGGTCCA